CTATATTGCAGTTCACAGCAAGCGTAGCTTACACCGCATACTCTTAGCACCATGCACTCCTATTGCCAAGGCCGCACGACGGGTGCCGCCCTCCCAGGAGGCCTCGGCCCTCGACGGCAGGCGGGCCATGGGACCCGGGCGGGTGGGATGCTGACCCGGGATCCCCTCCCGGGCTCCCCCCCCCCGGGACCTCCCCACGGGGCCCGGCACACCCCCCTTCCGCGGGGAAGGGATCAGAGGGAAGGGGCTCCTTCCCTTCGACTCCATGACGACGTTGCTTCATTTCGCTGTGGTATCTCACGCTCCATAGCTTCCACTTCCGGTTCACACCAAGCGTAGCTTACACCGCATAATCTTAGCATCGTGCACTCCTACTGCTAAGGCCGTGCGACTGGTGCCGCCCTCCCAGGAGGCCTCGGCCCTCGACGGAAGGCGGGCCATGGGACCCGGGCGGGCGGGATTCTGACCCGGGATCCCCCCCCCCGGGGCTCCCTCCCCACGGGAACCGGCACCCCCCTTCCGCGGGGAAGGGATGAGAGGGAAGGGGCTTCTTCCCTTCGGCTCAATGACAACGTTGCTTCATTTCGCTGTGGTGTCTCACGCTCCATAGCTTCCACTCCCAGTTCACACCAAGCGCAGCTTACACCGCATATAATCTTAGCATCGTGCACTCCGATCTCATAGTTCCCGCCGCATGGCTGACACCGCGTAGCTGTCACGTCCACAGTTCAATAACGCAGTACTTGGGGTCCACGGTGCCTAAAATCAGACGTGTCGAATTTCATTTCATCTGCTGCAATGGAGGGTTCAGGGCAGTTATCTAGTGCAGGGCAGTTCAACTATTAAACATTGCCCTCGTCTGACTTGCAAGCCTATCGGGTGTTTGGTTTTCAAGAGTGCTTCCCGTAGCGACGACGAAGACCTGCAGGGATTGTGAGAAGGGGGATTCGAACGAGAGGGTGTTCTGCAGCACCGCTGATTCATCTTGGGTTTGCTCTAGTCCTCCTCTTCTTCCCTCTTCGTCCTCCATTTTCCGTTCTCCCTCCCTTCATTCTCATCCCTACCTCCTCGGCCTCCTCCAGCTCATCTTCCTCCCCCCTCCTCTTCTTCCTTCCTCACCATGCTCATCGTCTTCCGCATTCTGTCTTGACCAGTAGGCAACGCTCGCAGTGTTCTTTCTCGTTTTCGCCCTCCTCTTCATCCTGCTCTTTCTTCTCCTCCTCATCCTCTCCTCTCCTCTTCTCCTCCTCCTCCTCCTCTTCCATTCCTTGTCCTTATGAAGAACTTATCCCTGTCGCACCCCGAGGCCAGTTTTTAGGGCGGACTGGGCGTTTCGCTTGAGACTTCTCGTCGTTTATGACTTTGAAGCATAAGACATGACAACCGTTTCACATATGGAGGGCGAGTCGTTTTCAAAATGTAGCCCTCGCCTCAGCGCCGCGCACATTCGTTTAAACAAATGCAAGAGTTTCACGGATCGAGGGCGAATCGTTTTCAAAATGTAGCTCTCGCCTCAGCGCCGCGTACATTCGCTTGTAAACATTGCAAGAGTTTCACGGATTGAGGGCGGCTTCTTTTTAACATGTGGCTGTCGCCTTAGCGCCGCGCACATTCGTTTTTTACACGGATTTCCATGCTCAGCCTACCAGAAATGGTGTTTTGGAAGGACTCAGGATTTTGAGGGTGCAACAGTTACGTACACTCGCGGTTTTGAAGTCCCAGAAAAGGCGTTCTGGCACGTCTCAGGATTGTCAGCACGCAACTGTCAAGTTGATCAGTGGCGTTGGGATCGAGAACATTTTTCTGGCATGCTTCAGGATCTTCAAACGGTTGTCTTCCAACGAGGCAGCTCCCTCAGTAGAAATGAACCGCTGTAGGGGCCTGTGAAGAGGGAGCTCTGTGGGAGGGTTTATATTCCAACATTGTTGATTACTCTTGGATTTGCACTGGTCCTCCTCCTCCTCCTCCTCCTCCTTCTTCTCCTCCTCCTCCCCCCCGCGCGCGCGGGGGGAGGGTGGGCGGAGGGAGAGGGAGGGTTGTGGATGGGAAGGGGGGGGGAGGGAGGGAAGGTGGATGAAGAGGTGCGCCTCGCCGTCCGCATGGTCCCGCGCCCTGCAGGTTCTGCGGCTACTGCGGCCAGGGCAGGAGGACCATGGACCACGCCTTCTGCCCATTCTGCGGGGGCCGCTTCTGCTGAGGGGCCTCGGCGGGCGCCGGCGACTCAGGAGGGTGGGAGGAGGAGGGATCAGGGATGGGGAGCGGCGTGGAGGAGGAGAAGGACAAGGAGCAGGACCGGAGCAGGCCCGAGACGCATCGACGCTGTTGCAGCAGACCCTCCCTCCAAGCTGCACTTTTTCTCGGCGGGGATTATTGAGGAGCATCCTGGATCCTCCTGCGAGAAAACCATGCGCGACACCGAAAAAGCACAGGGAATGGACGTCCGAGCGATGGCCAGCTTCACAGGTCCCTGCAAAAATTAGTTTTCAATCCAGGCAGTGTCCAGTTGGAAGACCACCGTCTGAAAACCCCCAACCGTGCCCATACACCTGTCCTGGGGCATCAACGCTGCGAATCCACGTCACTGTTGCGTCACTGACGATCCTGAACCGCGCCGGAACGCCATTCCTGGGAGATCAGAACCTCGGATCAACGTGATTGCGCCGTGACGATCTTAAATCGTGCTGGAACACCACTCTGGAAACGTCAACAATGATAATATTTGAAACTGCTGGGAACTATTAGGACGAATGTGCGTGGCGCTAAGGCGATAATCACATTAACAGAAGCACCCGCCCTCCATTTGTGAAGCTCATGCGAACTTTTAAGACGAATATGCGTGGCGTTGAGGCCAGAGCCACATTTTGAAAACCATTCGCAAACGAATGTGAGCAGCGTCAAGCCGAGAGCCAATTTTAAAGTCGACCCGCCCTCCATCTGTCAAACTCTTGCAGACTTTTAAGACCAAGACGATTGTGAGCGGCGCTCATGCGAGAGCTACATTGCGAAAACCAATCGCCCTGCATCCGTGAAGCTTTGCGCGGCGCCAGTGCGAGCACCGCATTTTGAACACGACCCACCCTCCATCCGTGGCACCGTTGTCAATTTGAAGCTGCAGGATCATAAAAGGTGGGGAAGTCTCAGGCGAGACGCCTCGCCCGCCCTACCGACAGGTCCCGGGCTGCGACAGGGAGGAGTTCGTTTTTTATAGGGAGAATATGTGGTAAATCGATCAGGGGCGCGTCAAGAGAAAGACAATAAGCGATGGAGGAGGACGTTGACGACCACGAGGACGAGGACGAGGGGGAGCCTTGTGGGGTGTAAGAAGAGAGGGAATCCGAGAGGAGCAGGAGGAGGAGAAGGATGAGGGGGGATGGCGTGCATGAGCATGGAGACTGCTGCTGCAGCACTGCGGCAGCACTGCTCCTGCTGATGGTGACAAGGACGATCATGGTGGTGTGATGGTGATGGTCATCGCGATCTCGGTCAGCAGCGTATCTGCAGTCAAGAACTGCAGAGCACCACGATGCCGTAGCCCTCGCCAGGGACATAATGTCCACGCGTTGTGACAAATATTCGACACGACTGCAGGGTCTCACGCCTCCCTCGACCAGCAGCGGGCGACTGCCGCGAAGCCGAACTTTGGCCAAGCAGTCGAAGGCGAAGGCGTGGACGTGCACGGTGATGATGCGGGGGGCCCGCGCGAAGGTAACGGCGCAGAAATCTACGAAGGCGGCATCAGCACGCACACAGCCTGCCCGTCCACGACCCCCCCCCCAGGGCCTCGGCAGCAGCCGAGCATGCCTAGCGCCTAGCGCCTCCCGCCTGGGCGCGGCGGACCCGCGCCAGGGGCCACACCACGGCCTCACGGGCAGCGCGCTGGCACTGAGGGCAAACAGGCCTCGGGCCGCCCGCCAGTGCACTCCCGCGCGCCAGCCGAGGACCGGTGAGTGAGCCAGGGAGAGGGGGGAAGCAAGCAGGGGCAGGCCCTTCTCAGACAACTCGGACATTCCCCAGCCTTCCCCGAAGACACAGATCGCTTCTAAGAAGGCGCGGGCGCTTCTGAGAAGTCACGCCGCCCTCGGAGGAGGAGGAGGAGGAGGGGAGGAGGAGGAGGAGGAGGAGGAGGAGGAGGAGGAGGAGGGGGAGGAGGAGGAGGAGGAAGAGGAGATGATGTGGATGCTGATGCTGATGATGATGCTGGGCATTCTGATGATGATAATGCTGCTGCTGATGATGATGCTGATAGTGATAATGACGATGATGCTGATGATGATGATGGTGGTGCTGATGATAATGATGATGCTGATGATGCTGATGATGATGACGATGATGCTGCTGCTGCTGATGATGATGATGATGATGATGATGATGATGATGATGATGGTGACGACGATGTAATGACTGGGACGAGGGGGATGTTGAGGATCAGTTTTCCGCGGCCCCAGTGTTGTTCAGAGGAGTGTCCTGCGGGTTTCCCAGGTACTCTGGGGGGGGGGTCCAAGGGTGTTGGGGAGTATGAGGATGAGGGCCTGCGTGTGAGGGAGGGGAATCAACATGCTTTCTTTGGTTTTTGATTTCTATGCTACTGCATTCCTCCCTGCATGTTTTTGTCCTGATTTCTGGAGGGACATGGGGGGGGAGAAGCAGACAGAAGAGAAGAATAATGCGATGAACCCGTATTTCGGGAGGGGGATGAGGCGGACATGGGAAAAGGGGAGGAGGATGTGGAGGAGGAGGAGGAGGAGAAGGGGGAGGAGGAGGGAAATAAAGGGAAGTGGGTGCAGATGTAGAGAATGACGGGGGGGAGGAAGAAGAAGAACTGTGGATGCAGAGGTAATTGAGGATATGTGAAAGTGTGGAGGGAGGTGGGATTAGGAAGGACGGATGAGATAGGAGCATGACCGTGGCACATGGAATTGGCGGAGTGGTATCTTCCGTAGTATCAACAAGCCGTCATCATTCTACAGCTTGCCATTTAATGAGGAAGGGACTTCTGTGCTTGTGAGCAAACCAATTTTTCAATGTGGGCGATGTGTGCTCTTCCTCCCTTCATCATCCCTGCTCCCACTTTATCCTTCTCCCCCCTGCTCCAACCTACTTCCCTCCTCCTCCGCTTGATCGAAGACGCCTTCGGCGAGACACCCCCGCCCTCCTGTCCCTGTGGGAAGGCAAGAGGGCACTAGTGGCTGATAGCTTGTGCAACTGGATTTTCCCAGAGTGCTCTGAAGCGGTTCCTGGTGAGACCCTCGGGGTCCCTCCAGGGGCTGTCTTGGATTTTGGGTCTCTCTGGGGGCCCTCTTGGGCCTTATCCTGAGCCTTCTCGGGGGCCTCCTGTGGCCTTCGCCGGCCATCGTGCTGCCATGTTGGGCCGTCTTAGGGCGCTCTTGGGCTGGCAAAGTCCACAACACCGACCAGAATAACGCCCGCTTTCAAGGCGGTCCTGGACAGGGTCTGTTGGGTCGTCTTGAGGTCCTGTTGGGGCCCTGTTGGCTCATCTGGGGCTTTTCTGGACGCCGGGAAAATGGAACGGGAATGAGTCCGATAATGATTCAGTTACCTTGGCGAAAGACCCAACCATCAGCAGGCGTGAGCGACGCAGGATATGACCCTCTCCTCACAGGTAGCGCGCTGCAAAGGGACGAAGGAGGAGGAGCTCCCCGCTGGGCCATGAAGCGCGCGAAGCGTGCCCCGAATTAGGGGGAGCTCGCCGTATGGGGCCACGAAGCGTGTGATGGGGTGTGCGCCGAGATGGGCTTGGCGGTAGTAGGCCGGCCCTGCCACTGGGGCCGTTCATGCAGCTCCATCTGGGGCCGCGAAGCACCTGATGGGCCCGCCGGGATGGGCACGGCGACGCCATGAGGGCGCTGCCACTTGGGCCGTCGGCGAAGCTTCCCGATTGGGGCCACGAATCGTGTGAAGGGTGTGCCAGGAGGGGCGTGGTCACGCATGCGGGCCTTGCAACTGTGGCGTTCTGCGGAGCTTCTCTGGGGCCACGGAGCGTGTGAGGGTGCGTCAGAATGTGCGCGGTCACGCTGGTGGGCCCTGCAGCCTGGGCCCTCCGTGGAGCTCTTGTGGGGCCACGAGGCGTATGAGGGGTGTGCCAAACTGGGCGTAGTCACGCACGCGGGCCCAGCCACTTGGGCCCTTTGTGTAGCTCCTATTGGGCCACGAAGCGTGTGAGGGGTGTGGCCAAGCAGAGACATGCGGAGTCAGAGGCAGGCGGGAGGAGCGGGCAGCGGGAGGGAGAAACACGCTGGGCGAAGCGGATTCAAACCGAGGACCCAACACCACAGGCTGATAAGGAAACAGAATCGGTGGTTCAATGACTGTGGCTTCTTGAGCTGATCCCGAAGGCCCCCAAGACGACCCAAGAGACCCCAGATGGCGTCATGGATCCTTTTGGGGCCATTCTGGCCCTTGGGGAAACGTCGTGGAGATCATCTTGGGCTGTCTGGGCGGCGATACTGGGCCACTTGGCGTCCTGGAGGTGGGCATTGTGCAGATTCTGGTTCGAAGCGGGTGTTTCCAGGTGAGCGACGAAAGAAAACGGGGTCGTCTTCTCCGACATTCGTTTGTAAGCTGCCCGCGTAAGCGCCCTCGCTTCCAGTGTAGCGTGCCGCGCTGGCGGCCCGCGCAAGCCGCGGCGTAAGGTCGCTACAGCGGGCACGAGGTGTACAGTGAAGGCCCATGCCAGGAAGCACTTTGCTTGCCTCCAGGGTGCCCTGGGTTTCTTCGGTTCCGACGCTTCTGCCAGTCGGGGGAGCGTAAGACCCGGGTTTGCTGGGACTCGGGTTCGCCATCGTTTTTTGACGACCGCGACTCGGATTTTGACGAGCAGGAGTTTCGTGGGATGTCTGCAGCGGGAGGCCTCGTCAAAATGCAGGTTCGGCCTCGTCGTTTTTTTGACGACCTCGTCGGGGATTTCCGAGTCCCCCGTACCCGGGTCTTACGTCTCCCCGAGCCAGGGAAGCGCGACGCTCCCACACCGAACATCGAGGGACGTCCCCGGGGTCGCAGGGCGGGGCTCCCCGTGGAGGATGTCCGGGGGACCGGCCTCCGCGGCACAGACACAGTCGTAGCTCTGGAGGAGG